AATTACTATTGTAGTTTACTAAGTTCTTAAAAATTTGTAATATTAAATACTATGTACTAAATTTTTAATATAGTTTAAGATTTGTATTAATCACCCACCTTAAATATTATTTTAATTTTAAATATATTTATGTTCATAATTTTATCATAGGAATTCACACATAATAATTATTAAATAACGAAAATTATATATATAAATAAACCTCATATAGGGTATATTTTTTAAACATATTTTCCGTGCATCGCACGGGACAAATACTAGTTTTAAGTAAAATGATTATATCAATTAATCAATTCGTAGATTTTAAGTAATAATAATAATAATAATAATAATAATAATAATAACAACAACAACAACAACAACAACAACAACAACAACAACAACAACAACAACAACAACAACAACAACAACAACAACAACAACAACAACAACAACAACAACAACAACAACAACAACAACAACAACAATAATAATAATAATAATAATAATAATAATAATAATAATAATAATAATAATAATAATATATTATTATTATTATTATTATTATTATTATTATTATTATTATTATTATTATTATTATTATTATTAGGAGAAAAGAGTAATTGTGTTAGTGTTGTTATTTTTGGTTAGAATAATAATGTAGTATTTATCATAATAATAGACTAAATAAGAATGGTAATAAGTAATATTACATTGTGATTACAGAGGTATATGACAGACAAGAGTAATTTTGGTTATTTTTGTTTTAAATTGTGAACCACAATCTTTTATTAGGTGGTGCGTGGTATTTTTTAAATTGCAAGGACACGTATTAGAAGAGTAGTTGATGTTTGTGCGTATTAATTTTTGGTTTTCCATACCATACTAGTAACGTACGGTGGTGTATGCGTATATGGGAGAAGACGTGTGCGAAATAATAGAAGTTGATTTTTTTAAGAAGAAGAAGAAGAAGAAGAAGAAGAAGATTGTCGTATTTCGACATCCTAAAAATGACAAAATTGAGATTTCTTATCTCAAGTATTGATTTTTTTTTTCCCCCGTACAATACTAGTAACATACGGTGGTGTGTGCGTTTATGGGAGAATTTGTGTGCAAAAGTTATATAGAGGGCCTTTTGTATGAGTTATTTGGTTTTTTTTTTTTTTTTTTTTGAAAATTGTCGCTACTATGTGCCTATATGGTCGAAGGGGTGTGCATAAGTTCTGTAGACGGCGTTTTGTATTAATTTTTTTTTTTTTTTTGGTATTTTTGTTTTAAATTGTGAACCACAATCTTTATTAGGTGAATGCGTGGCATATTTTTTTTAATTGCAAGGACACGTATTTGAAGAGTAGTTGATGTTTGTTCGTAATATTTGATGCACCGTCGGTGTATAGATGCTATACACCGGCGGTGAATGAGGAGATGACACATCATTAAAAACTAAAATCAATACTAATTGAGTCCTTTTATGCAAAACATCTCAGATTTGTATTTTTTAAAAAACTTCTTTTATTTCTAATTAACAAAATATATATATACTTTCCTAAACATATTTATTACTTAATTATTATATATATCAAATTATCTAATTATTACTAATGAAAGATTAATAATTAATTAACATAATGCATCGTACTGGACGGTGTGGTTGGCTAGAAATGAATCGTACTGGAGTGGCAAGGTTTGGAGTATTTTTGAGTTGAAGCACATGCAGCGTGCTTTTACCATGGAGTGGCAACAGGCCTTGCAGTTACATGTAGCGCAGCAACCAGTAGCCACAAGCACCACGGCTCTGTGGAGTGTGCCGCCAGTAGGTTTTGTAAAATGTAACATTGATGCTGCGATTTTTGACGAGGGAGCAGGATATGGCACTATCATAAGAGATCATGAGGGAAGGTTTGTCTCCGCAATCAATGGTTGGTTCATGTCGGTGCGAGATCCGTACCTGGTAGAAACAATGGCAGTCAAAGAGGCACTCACCTGGCTAAAGAGATGCAATATTAGTAATGTTATTGTTGAAATTTATTGTCTTAATTTTGTGAACAATTTTAATTTGGTAGGTCAGGATTTTTCTTACGTTGGGTCTTTGATTGAGCAATGTCGTACAATTGCAAGTGACATTGGGAACATTGTCGTTCGCCATGTCAAGAGGTCAACAAACAACGTAGCTCATGTGCTAGCACGGGCGACTGGTTCTCCTTCTGTCCTTGGGTCTTGGGATGGTATCCCGTCTAGTTGTATTTCGCGTTTCTTTAATTTGACGGTTTAATATGAGTTTTGATTTTCAAAAAAATTAACATAATGCATCACATATTAATTCATTAACTAATTCTTGGATTAATCCATTATTAAAAAGTTACAATGTAATACACTCCACACAACAATATCCAGTAATTTGATTATTACATAATATTTGATTAAGTGTTGATTTTTTACAATATTGAATATATATTGTAATTTTTTACAAGATATTGCAATTGTTTCTAATAGTACATAAGGTTGTAATTTAAATTTAGGAGTTTAAATAGATTTAGGAGTTAATATAGATATAGGAAATTAGATGGTGTTTGTTAATTAAAATTAAAGAATTCTTAATTGTAAATATAATAATTTAAAAATTTATTGATATAAGCAGAAAAGACACCAAGAGACACCGAAAAAGGAGAAAAGTAAAAGACGGTCATTAATGTATCTTAGAGCATCCATATCAGTTGGGGAGAATTGGGGGATAATGTAAGAGTGATTAGGAAAGAGAAAGTGGGAGGGGAGAGAAAAAGAAAAAAAAGAGGAGAAAACTGAAATTAAAAAAAAAATAAAATAAAAAGCTGGAGCGTCAGGCGCGTGCAATGCACGCGCCCGTGTGGCCACAGGCTGTGCGCAAACGCACACAGCCTATGTTGCTTAATTTCTTTTACTTTTTTCTTTCTTCTGACATTATGTTTGCATTTGCAGGAGAAATCTTCTCTCAAATAATCCCACCCCACATCTCTTAATATCCCCATCCAAGTTTATTCATCTGACATTAACTCCTTATTAACCTTTGGTGTGGATGCTCTTATCATAAATATCACTATACCGTCCCATAAAATCTAGCAATAAAAACTTAATACCTTAATAAAAATATAAACAAAAGACATCAATACCTCTAATTCCCAAATAAACAACACGCGCGTGGCTTAATAAAAAATCAAATCTGAAACGTCCACCAATACAAATAAACGACTGAGATTGAGCCTCACGATCTCACCTAACAATAGTGGCATCACCGGATCCTATATATATATATATATATATATATATATATATATATATATATATATATATATATATATATATATATATATATATATATATATATATATATATATATATATATATAGAAGGGTTCAGGTGCGGGAATGGCTTCCCGTGCGGTTGTGCGGTTGGACGCACCTTAATCATTAGCATGGCGCATCTTAAATACATAAATCACCACGCACCTTAAGTCCACAAACAAAGCACCTTAAGAACACAAATCACTCACCTTAAGTACAAAACACAAGCACATTAAGCACAAAACAAAGCACTTTAAGCATAAAACTCACACACTTAAGATTTTAAAATGTCTCACATTAAGCACAAACTCACGCAAATTAAGTACAAAACCCATGCACATTAAGCACAACTTCACACACATTAAGCACAAAAACTACGCACTTTAAGTATTAACTCATAGACCTTAAGTTTCAACAACTACTGACATTAATCACTAACCTCACACATATTAAGCACAAACCCTACGCACATTAAGCACAAACTCCACTCACATTAAGAGCAAATCTCACGCACCTTAAGCACAAAAGCCCACACTTTAAGTTTAAACAACTACTCACATTAAGCACAACCCCACGCACATTAATTACAGAACCGCTCACCTTAATATTGACCTAGATGCCAAAATTACAAAATTGTCACCAAGTTTTTTGTTTTTTAAATTTTGGTAATCCTGGACGTTGATTTAGGCGAGATGAATGACCCAAATTAAACCGCACAACTGCACCTGAGCACCCTAACCGCACCAGAACATATATATATATATATATATATATATATATATATATATATATATAATAACTTTTTACTCTTAATATGAGCCAATGCCTTGTAAAGTGATCTTAAAAAATAGTACTATACTTTTTTATTACATTTTCTTACCAGGGTTGACTATGTTGGAAAAGTTGTTATTTTTGGCATGTGAAATGACAGGCATAGTTTTGAGTGGAGTTCAATTTCAATTTAGATTTGGTGTAAGTAGACTTGAGTTTTTCTAAGTGAGAGCTTTAATTCGATATATAATATACTCAAAAACGAATATATGTGAATGAGAAATTGATTCTCAGAGTAGAATCATTTGAATTGAAAAAAAAAAAAATGAAATTGAGAAGGCTTTGACGAAGCCTTTGTCTCACATTGGAGAAAAAAGAGAGTTTGCACTACTAAGTCTGTACTAGTATTTATAAGTCTTTTTAAAGGTGTTTGAATTGTATAACTTTAAAGCTTTCTCTCATTCATTTAAAGGAAAAATAGTTAAATAGACCCTTCAACTATAGACCAAAGTGCGATTAGCCCCCTAAACTAAGAAAAACTCCAATTAGACACTTTATCTCTGGACTTTTATGCAATTTAGCCAATTACTTCCTAAAACTTGTGCAATTAGTTTATTTTACAGGTAAAATTGAATTTTTTAAAAAAATAATTTAAAAATAAACTTTATAAAAAAAACCAAAAAACAAAAAAAAAAACAAAAAAAAAAAGATTGCCGGCTTGTCATTTGAGGAGAAGCCGGCAATCTGGCCTCTCCGTCCAGCTGGACGGAGAGGCCAACTGGCCAACGTGTATAAACTACGTATATGAATGAATGTTGGTCGAATATAAGCCAATGCACTGGTTGTCCACCTGGCCTTCATATATATTTACCTTCATATTCCATCTATGGTAGTTAAACTACAGGCCGGAGTTGAAAGCTTAGTTTAATCAAAATGAGTTACTACCAACTGGCAGATAGTCCTTTAGCTTTAGGTAACGAAAATATGGGGGATAATAATGATTCTCCGATGCCAATTATAGGCGTTTATGTAGCAGCTGCTTCTCTTGCATGTTCCTTTGCAATGTTCTTAAACTCATGTTTAACCTTCATTAACTCGTTTCCCAAGTTTAATCTCCGCTTCTCCCGCAATTTCTTCCCTCTCAATGCAACTTGGTTGACACTATTAGCTGTGGCTACCAAGCCGGTAGCTGATCTCACAACTCCCAAGTTGTCTTACCAAGATAATCAGGCAAAAATTATGAACACGGTTTTCTTAACTGTGGCAATGGGTAATTTTTTCACCTCTCTGGGCTCTATGAATAACGCAGATATTGTAACCAACCTCACGGCTTTGAGCATATTGGTGATCACCGTGGTTGTCGATTTATACATCCAACTACGTTTCCATGTGTTTGATACCCCATCCTCTTTGGTAATCATCATCCAAATTGCTTTGTTGTTCTCCACGTGGATAACAATTGTGAGTTCGGCTCTAGCCGTTCCAGCGATTAAGAAACGCGCAGAATCAAAGTATCAGAAGCTAGCTTCAGATGAGAGGCAGATGAAAGCTGGGCAACAACATTATAGAGTTGAAGAGCTTAGATTGAGCATTACAAAGTATTGGGTGATGGCAGCATCTGGTAGCCCCCAGCTTCTGATGAAAAGGTTGGTCACCTTCGTTTATACCAATATCATCTGCCTATTTTCTGCCCTTATTGCATTTCTAGCACTTTTTAGTTATGGGATGGTGAACGATTATAACTCGATTTATATTCAAATTCATTCTGAATATAAGTGGTCGGTCGACTTGATTTTACTTTCACAATATTATGTCACGTTACCAACTGTAGTCATAGCTACAATCTTCATGATTAGTGTGGTTGGTTACAAGTATGAGAACAATGGGATCAGAATCAGTAGAGAAGAAGTCACAATTGAGTCCTATTGGACTGAAAAATTGGTTGAGTGGAGGCAGCGATCAATACCTATAAAGTTTAAGAGATGCACACTCAGAAAACTTATTCATAGCATCAAATCTTTGATCTTGAATTTCTGCATACTAATTCAGATTGTGAATGTAATGTGGTGTAAATTTTGTAGTGTTATCTCTTTTTACTTGGTGCTTCCATTACTACTTTTAGTTAATCCTTTAGGCAAATTAATTAATCATTATTTAGGCCAATTGTTCCGCAAAAAGAAAGTTTCAGAGGTAGATCTCAATTGCTTTGTAATACTACTTGAAGGAGAAAAGCAATTCCCAAAAAAATTATTGAGAGGGATTATTAATAGGGTGGATAAACTTGTTGAGATGGGTAAGAAGCAACGGCCACACAACCTGTTTAATCTTCTTAATCAAAGTTTCTCATTTGGTGGCGTGGTACAATTTGATAGCAATCGAGTTCCAAGTCTATTGTCTGGTGAACCTCTTAATTGTTGGACACTTCCGGTGGTGACACTAACAAGCATCGCCATTGCAATTCCAAACATCGCAAGTCGGCATGTTGATTGGTTGGTAAGCAGTGCTAATGAAGGCCTCCGCTATGCAAGCCTCATAGATGTCTTGGATGGGAAATGTGGGTTGAAAAGTAGTATTAAAAATGCAGCAGATGTTGTGTGGGTGGGAGTTGAGCTTCATAGGAAGTGGTTAGACATGGATCTTAAAAGAAAAACTGGAGAAATAAGTTCTGTTAAGGACATTATTCAAGATCTTACTAATGTATCTGAAAGGATTGTTATGGAGTTTAGCTCTAAAGAGAACAGAATGATAGTGGAAAATCCACTCTATTGGCCTGCGAATGTTTTAGCTGCAAATTCAATGTACAGAATTACTCGAACCATTCTGCTATACTATGAAGATGGTGAGTGCCAAGGTGAAGAGTTGTTTAGGATGTTAATTTGCATGATTGCAGATATATTGGCGGCTTGTCTTACCAATTTGCCTCATATGATATATACTAAGTGCATAAGCAATGCAATTGAGGAAAGGCTAAAAAGTGTTCGAGCTGCCGCTATCATTTTTGGTGAAACAGAAGATATTCTAAAAATTTTTGAAGAGCGTAAACTTTCAAACGTTGGTCCCAGTCAACCATTATGCATTGATGAATGGCGTGGATGGATTGAGCAACAAGCAGCATTAGTTTCATCTTCTGCAACAAGCAATGGAGCATCATCTGTAGAGTCCAATGAGCATGTGGTTATTAAAATGCAGGCTTGATTTATATGTACTTTCTTAATTACACGTTACTTCAAATGTAGATTATATTTGATCTGTTTGTGTGGTTTTATTATGTAAGACGGGACATGTCAACTTAATTTTCGTTTAGAGTCAATTTATAATGTAAGTAATATTATATGTTGTAGTCATCCTCTATCAATACAACAAGGCCTCCATTTCTACATATATATATCATTATACTACAAGAATTGACTAGATCATGATGATTGCATATCATATCATTATAACACATATTTCTTTTCATGTATTGTGAACCAAACTTTAATTCAAGGCTTTACTTTAATTTTTAGAAAAAATTTAATCCCTGTATAAACTTTAATTAATTCTTTAGATAAAATAGATTATCATCAGATCACATCACCATAATATATCCATACAAAGCACAATAGAGTAACAAAGATTATATAGAGACTTTGCTTTTTTTTTTTTTTTTTTGAAAACTAGAGACTTTGATTTAGTACAATAGAGTAACAATAAGAGTATATAGACGTTATTATGTACCAAAATTTAGTAGGCAACTGCAGAAACCTTTCGAGCAGGCTTCTGCCTCCTAACCGTATTCGAGTCACCGTAAATTCCAATTTTCACACTTCGAGCGTGTGAGGACTCCAAGAAGAATAAACTAGAATAACAATATAATTCTCTGGTTCCCATCTTCATATACAATGGACCTATTTATACTAATTTACTAATACCTATAATAATTAACCTACCAAAGCTATACTAACTATACAAGGTAATCATACATATTTTTCATATGCTAAATTAGGCACAATATTACTCTACCACTAATTAAGTTGTACCATCCTAATTATCCTAATAATTCTAGAAATATACTTAATTCTTCCTAATTATGCTACATAATTACAATTAAGGGTGTATCACTCTCCACCCCTTCAAAAAACACCTTGTCCTCAAGGTGTAAGTATAGAAATGATCATATTCATACCTTGATGATACTGCTTGATTGATTTATCAAGCGTAGACATCATAGACAACATGTTCACTTGATTGCCCTGTAACAGAATTCCTTGTTGGTGTCATGATTTGGACCAATTTGGGTATCATTTCTAGTGCAGCGTGGATGAAATTTTCCTCCAAAGGCACTAATGATGTGAAAATTGATTCTTGAAACAATTGGGGAGACTTAATATGCACAATTATAGTTGCTACTTTATCGTTGAGTGGTGCTTCAATTTGGGGTGAATCCATGCGAACCGTGTTGTGTTCCTCCATAGTATTTGGTGCAGGATCTACCTCCTCCTCCGTAAAATTTTGAATTTCTTCTTGATTGGTTTGATTAGTATAGTCCTCATCAACAATTGCACAATAACTCATGTCAACCAAATTATCACCAATCCCTTTTTCGATTATCACTTCCGCATCAATTTCCACCTGAAGAGTGGAAGTTTGATGATCTATTTCTCCGCATGTAGCCATTATTAATTCGGCATCAGGAAATTCTATATTCATAGTGCAATACTCATCATAAATGTTTTGGCCATTAAATGTTTGTTTGGCTATGATTGAATCCACAATGGAATCAAACCATACCAAAGCTTGAAAGGTGTGACCATCATCCTTTAAAATATGAATATATTACACGGGTCCTTTCGTAGAAAAGATCTCATACAATACAAAATCATCGATGTGATACCATACTTGGTGTACAGAAACCAATAAGCACCGGTAAGTAATAATTTCCATAATAATTATAAAAAAAATAAATAAAATAAAAACTCTTTTTTTTTTCTTTTCTATCGCTTGTTTTTTTTTTTTTCTTTCCTTTTGGTCAATTTCTTCACCCTTTTTTTGTTGTCTAGCAGCCAACAAAAAAAATAACAATAATAATAAAAATAAAAAGATAGGGGATACTCTCACCAATGGAATCAATGAAAGCACCAATTTATATTTGATGCACCCACAAATCTTCTCAATGAAAGCACCAATATTACGTACCAAAATTTAGTACGCAACTGCAGAAATCTTTCGAGCAGGTTTCTGGCTCCTAACTGTATTCAAGTCACGGCAAACTCCAATTTTCACACTTCGAGCGTGTAAAGGCTCCAAGAAGAATAAACTAGAATAACAATATAATTCCCAATTATGCTACATAATTACAATTAAGGGTGTATCATTCTCCACCCCTTCAAAAAACACCTTGTCCTCAAGGTGTAAGTATGGAAATGAGCATATTCATGCCTTGATGATACTGCTTGATTGATTTGCCAACTAAAATTACTCAAACTTTTCTAAATTTTCAAACTGTGATTGGCAAAAGGACATATATATATATATATATATATATATATATATATATATATATATATATATATATATATATATAGGCTTCGAATCCGGTGCACACCCAATGACACATGAGCACATGAGATCTCTTGATATCCAGATTTTGAAAGAAATTAAGGATATTTAGTAATCACAAGGATTAAAATGTAATTGTATTTAGTTGTTTAATTATGGATATTATATTATTTGAATCTTAAGCATTATATCATTATGTTATTATAGGTAAATTGAATGTGCATAGGCCGAGTAAGAAAGAAAACGCGTGAGAAAGTCTGTGGGAGCAGAGCAACGGGCGGAGGAGTGTCATACGAAACGCAAACTGCAGTCATGGCTTCAGGCAGCAAAGGAATGTGCGAAATCGTATATTGGTATGTGCGTATATGGACGGTGGTTTGGTTTTTAGATAATTGTTGTTGGGTCGGATGGAGAATAATTTGGGAGTGTTAGTGAGAGTTTATTTAACTGGTGAGGGTATTAGGATGGTGGATAGGTTGTGTGCGGGTTGGTAGTACAGTATGTGCATAATGTGAGAAAATGCGGGTGTGCGTAGTGTGGGCCACTGACTCTTATATTGAAACTGTATCTGTGGTTTGTAAGGCTAACTAACACGTAGAGAGACGTGTGTGCATGTAGGTGTGTTTGTAACGGTGTGGAACGACATGATGTTAGAATAGTGTGCAGTGTGCGTGGAATAACAGTAGTAGGTGCATAGTGGGCTAACAGAGGTTTGTGAACAGACTAAAATGTTAAGAAATGTTTGTTGTTTGTCAGGTGTACTACCCATGGAAGATGATGCTGGGCGGCAAAATTGTGTTATGGACGTATCACCGGGCGGTAATGAGACGTGGTTAACAGAATGCGACTCCACCATAAAGCCGGCCCAGGGACAATTGTTTAAAATCTTAGACGACGGTATTGAATTCTACATGAAGTATGCATCTATAGCTGGCTTTGATGTGCGTCGAAGTTCTGACAAGAAGAACAAGTATGGCGCCATTTGAGGAAAAAGATGGTTTGTTCACGTGAAGGTTTTAAGGAAACCAAAAACACAGGGCCGTCTGTAAGTGATGCACCAACAAAGGCCAGACGCCGCCGGCCATCAACCAGAGTTGGGTGCATGGCTAGGATTGTATTCAAAAGAGACAGTGCGGGAATGTATGTTGTGATGACATTCGAAGAGGAACACACGCACTGTTTGTACGAGGAGAGTTACAAGCCTTTCTTGAAAGTGAATAGGAAACTAGATGTTGGTCATCAACAATTCATAACAAATTGCTCTAAGGTTAATGTTGGTGCCAGTAAGAGCTTTGACATATATGCAGAGATGGTTGGTGGAGTTGAGAACGTGGGTTGTACGCAGCTAGATTTCAAGAATTACAGAAGGGAGGTCTTGGCACATGCAAGGTAGAGACGCACAAATGGTAATATCGAAATACCTTGATATCAAATCTGACTACAGTTACATGTACTTCGAATATGAAGCAAATGAAAAAGACCAATTGGCACGTGTGTTTTGGGCGGACGGTGCGGCACGCCAGAAATTCTGTGCGTTCGGAGATGTCGTATCGTTCGATGCAACGTACAAAACAAACAGGTACGCACGTCCGAAAACTAAAAACTAAAAATGCAATCGTCCCATATGTGTAAACGTTGAGTGTGGTTCAGAGTTTTGTGAGCATTTTATAAAAATGAACGTGGAGGGTGTAGGGGGAAAACAGTCTGCTATGCGTGCGTGAGCTGAATCGTGAGCGTGGTAGTGTGTAGTGAATGCATGGCCACTTATCTGAACGGCAAAAACTTAACGTTCTATGCTGTGAGCATTTTATAAAAATGTATGTGGAGGGTTTAGGGGGAAAACAGTCTGCTGTGCGTGCGTGAGTTGAAGCGTGAGCGTGGTAGTGTGTAGTGAATGCATGGCCACCTACCTGAACGTCAAAAACTAAACATTCTATGCATACGAACTAACTAGTTCCCTGGTGTGATAGGTACAGTCTCGTGTGTCCCATTCACCGGCGTAGACAACCACAAAAAATGCATGACATTTGCAGCAGCACTAATTGCTAGGGAAGATGTGGACTTGTACTGTTGGGCACTGAGGAACTTCAAGAGCGCAATGGGCAGCACACCGCGTATTACAGTAACAGATCAAGACCCGGCAATGAAGGTAGCAATTGCAAAGGAATTCCCGGAGACCCGGCACCGTTATTGCATGTGGCACATAATGACAAAAGTGAGTGATAAAGTGAGCCCTGAGATGGCGCGGAATGAAGAGTTCCGTCGGGAGCTAAATGGTGTAGTGTGGAATGACAGCGCGACTTCCGAAAATTTTGAGGTCGCGTGGAAAGGAGTTATTGAAAAATACGGATTACAAGAAAACGCATGGCTGAAACGTATGTATGATGAGCATGCAACATGGGTGCCTGCGTGTTTTGAAGACGTGTTTATGGGCGGACTACTTCGTACAACATCCCGGTCTGAAGCAGAAAATAGAATTTTCCGAACCAACACAAACAAACACATGTGTCTTTCAGAATTTTTCATCCGGTTAGAGAGTACAATTAGAAAGCAACGGATCACAGAGGCGGACCTAAGTGGGGTATGCAATGCACAGACACCCCCCTTCAAAACGCAACTGCGGATAGAGCGAGATGCAGCGTCACTGTATACATTAAGCGTGTTTTACGAGGTACAAGAGAATATATGTGCCGGATGTTTTGATTGTCGAGTGCGTTCAGTCAACCATGACGGCTCCGTAGCCACGTATGTGGTCGAGGATGAATACAATAAGAGATACACGGTCATAGTAGAAAATGGGACAAACACAACAACCTGCACATGCCGATTGTACACAAGGATTGGTCTGTTATGCAGTCATGCTTATGCAGTTCTAATCTACGAAAGGATCGAGCACATACCTCCCCAACATATCACCCCCCGATGGACAAAAACCGCATTAAAAAAAAACAAATGGAGTGGGCAATGATAGTCTGCAACATGCAAGGACTTCGTCAACCAACAGTAACGAAGAAAGCACCATAATTAATTTGTTATACAGATGTTTAGGTCTCGCTCAAGGAGATAGTTCGAAGTTGGAGCCGATTCGAAAAACACTAGAGGAGTTCGAAGCAACATGGTGCGAGAGCGGGGTAGAACGAGGGGGTACAGATAAAGGCAAACGAGTGATTATGGAGTCATACTGCGGCGCCCCACAACCTAAGGCAGTCAATGTGCACCCACCACCCGTTTCAAGCAACAAAGGGTCGGGAAAACGAATAAGGACTGCTAAAGAGATAGCAATGAAGGAGCAAAGTAAGAAGAAACGAACATGCAAGACCTGTGGACTAGCAACCGGCCACAACAGTAGGAGTTGCCCACAAAAATAAAAAAGGTATTATAATTGAAAGAACTAGTGAGAGCGTTACTATTTAATTCGAACTATTTAATCTTCGAAGATGTCATGATATTTTGAAGTTTTTTTTAAAAAAAAATATAGTATGCATGTGCGTGAAACACTCTACAGCACGAGCTTAAAGCTTTACTAATTTACGAATAAATTTTTGCTACACTTACTGTGGGTAAGATGGTGCCTTGGGTAGACAAAATGATTAATGACAAATAAAGGGATGAGATTGAACACTGTGGGTGAGATGGTGCCTTGCTACACTTAAATTGAGGTGACATTGTCTATGCAACGCAAAGTGTTACCCCGGAATCAATGACAGAAGCTATATGGCTACGGAAAAAAAAAAAAAAAAAAAAAAACAAAAAACAAAAAAAAAAAAAACAAAACCAACCCGCCACATTAGAAGCTGCGCCCCCCACCCCCTTGACGCACAGACCGATATGAGTCCCTGCACAGGGTTAGTACTGCGTTGATAAGAATGGAAATGTAAAAAAGCGGTATTATAATTGAAAGAACTAGTGAGAGCGTTACTATTTAATTCGAACTATTTAAGCTTCGAAGATGTCTTGACATTTGAAATTATTTTTCTAGTAAATCCAGTATGCATGTGCGCGAAACACTCTACAGCACGAGCATAAAGCTTTACTAATTTACGAATAAATTTTTGTTACACTTACTGTGGGTGAGATGGTGCCTTGGGTATACAAAATGAATACTGGCCAATAAAGGGATGAGATTAAACACTGGGTGAGATGGTGCGTTGCTACACTTGAATTGAGGTGACATGGTCTGTGCAATGCAAGTTGACATGGTCTGTGCAATGCAAGGTGACATGGTCTATGCAATGCAAGGTGATTAGATCTGTGCGTTTCTACACTTAAATGGGAAAAGCCATAATACCGGCCATGCACTTAGTGAGACACAATTACGCACAGGGCCCCAAAATGAACCCCAAATACCAACACCTGTGTTTAAAAATAAATACGTGCTAAGAGAAAACTGTTTCGAATGAGTGGAACAATCATAAAGAATAATGCAATACAAAAACCAAATACTAAACGTAAACAGTAATAGCGTATAAAGATTAGCTTAACCAAGCAACATAAAAACAAAAAACAAAAACCCCCGTACTGGGAAGCCCATAATATAAAGTGCTGTGAATAGAAATAGGTGGAGTAAAATGTCGCCATCAACGTGTCGCAGCATTTGACCTCTTAACAAAATCGACATTCGACACCCGGTGAGTGTTGCTTTGGAACATCAAAATGTCGTACAAGAAGCAGGCGCGTAAAGCAAGCAAACCACGTGCATCACCCCTACGAAGGCCACAATCCCATGAAGCGTATGCCTGACCAACATAAGACTCCATATGGAGCATAGCAAACACCCCGCAATCTACTTTGTTCGTAGCATCATGCCATGGTAACTGTATTCTACGAGGAATCAGTCGTGTGACCTTCATAAATAATGCGGACACCCCAACATCCTTTAAGAAACCCGACAGCAAATCATGCTACAAAAATGGCACTGCATTAAACCAGCGCTCACAGCAGAACAAGACACTGAATTATGAACCCCAAAAATGAACCGAGAGAACAATAAGAAAGCAAAAATAGACGATGCACATACCAACACCGTGAGTGTGTGGCTGTATTTCACGAGGGACAAATCCCCCACGGAAGAATTATCTATAACATCGAAGCGCATGCGTCTGAAGTCAACTGAAACAACGTAGTAGTGCGAGGCTTGAAGAATAGGGAAAAACAGCTGCAACAGTAAAAAAATAATAATAATAAAGAAAACGACTATAACTAATGGGCGGGGTTAAATGCACACTAACCATGTCTAATTCATCCCATGAATTGTAAGTAGAAAAGTTCAAATCCTCCACCATATTATCTGTAAACCACTGTAACCGCTGACCACGTGGCGCTGAAGCATCAACCACGGTGTACAACTGGAATGTAAGAACAAATGGATCACCAAACATAACACAAGAACATGGATAAAAAACGTAACAACCTGTAGTAGAAACGAACCGTAGACATTATAGACACGAAGAGCCTGGACCGGGAACCGACAACCGTGCTCCTTTCCCTAATATTCAAAACACACACCCAAACATTCAATATGCCAACCAACACTTCTTTACCTTCCAACAGTGATATAAAACCAGCCCGGCATGCAGACCGACCACAAAAAAAAAAAAAAAAAAAAAAAAAAAAAAAGAAACAATTCCTCATCCCTGCGCGAAAAAAACAATGGAAACTGTGAAACACAATAACACACATAAGTTAAAAAACACATCTACCAAAATTAATGACATACATGTCAGCACAACCAGATTGTGCAATCCAATCATAAACCGCTTGTACAGAAGGTCTTTGCATTGATTACAACTGGACAGCGCGTGCGCGTGTCCGGTGTTCATATGAATTCAAGTCTAGCGTCCTCAATGCCCGAACATTCTCAAACGTCGGACGTGACTGCTTGGAAGGCGCACGGCACAGAGGTGGATCATATATTGCGCTAGCCGGAGGAACGACTGGAATAATGTCCTAAAAACAAAAAGTAGCCAATCCACAAAACGGTAAAAACCCAGTGTATAAATAAAGGTTGCGAAACCTACCGCAATAATAATGAAATTGAACGGCGTACCTCATCAGGAGTTAAGATGGCAGCATCTTGACCGTGAGAACCATCTTGGCAACCGCTTTTCATACCTCCCCGAGAATGTCCAACACGGCCAAGAGAGTCAGAAATACAGTGAGCAGACGAGTGATTGTTGGGTTGTCCGACCTACAAAAGGAATTTAAAACCCATAACAGCACCAACAACCCACATGACTACACACACGCCTAGTAGTGCAACGCACAAACTACGAAGACTTAGGAAAATAAGGACGCACAGTAATACGAATTTTGAGCAAGATCCAAAAATTATACACGCATACTTACTCCAGCACACGGGGCTAATGAACAGCCACATCGCGTGACGTCCGGGGTACGTATATCATATTCCCGGACAATTGAATCTACCACCTCCAAACATTGGGTTGGCAGATCCTGAGACAAACCAAAACCGATGGAAGAAAACTCCTGAGTCAACCCAAGACTGAACGAAGGAATATCTGCATCTCCCTAAGGAATGAAAAAGAACCCGTCATACAATAACCATTACGAACACAAAGAGATAAATTTCAAAGTGCACCACCACCAAAAAAACAAAAGTTGAGTAGCATTAAACAACAGCACGACATATTGATTCCAAAATAGAGCGCATGATTAACAAAATATACACAGAAAATGTGCGGTAAACGCTAGACCACACACGTGCATGTCATCATACAAAACAAAGCACCAAAAAGAACACTATGATATGAACAAGGAAAAAGAAACCACAGTTCACTACCACAGAAACACTAGTAACGCCTAGCTTTACGGCGTCGGCGTACAACCTTACTCACAACAGCAGTCCTAGCCACACCGGAACCCCCATCTCGCGGAGCAACCACAGACACCCCACCGCATTGAGCATCCACATCACCAACATCCGCAGAAGTGCTCTGCTGCTCATCCAAACCTGAGCTGGGCGGTGCTACTTGTTCGCCTCCTTTCTCCTGCTGGGCAGCAAAAACAACGGCATCTACCACCTCGAAACTCTCCGGGTTGGTCCAAATCTCGTCCCCACTAAGCGCACCGGCCGGTCCCACATCCACCGAAGGCAGCCCGGAGGATCCTCCCACTTGATCAACGAATGATATCAATTTCCGAGCCCCCCCCCCCCCCAACGACTCTAGACAAAAAAACATACCGGCCGGGATGGTCATCATGCTGCTCCACAAATTGTACCATATCATCCAGTGCCCCAGCTAACGAATCGATCTTTTCAGCATAAAGTTCTGTAACAGTCTACAATTACCAAACACAAAATCATCAAACAAAGAGGAAAAGAACATAACAATCTTTAATAGCTTGGGACATGCTTTGATACACACAAACCAGCAACGCAACAACTGAAATATACTGACGAAATGACCCTATTATTTTAATAAAAAAAACCAGATTTCCACAAACAAAATATTTCATGATTAACTGAAACAATCGTAAACAATTAGCTATAAATAGCATTCAATCACGCACAAAATGGGATGCATTTATGCACCAGAAAACAAAATCAAAAATTCAAAGCCCGAAAACCGTTTACCAGGACACACATAGCTCAGCTTCTCACATCAGGATACGCACTAAGTGAGTTACAGTTACGCACAGACACGCACCAATTACAATTAACCACATCACCATATATGAACACAGTGAGACACAGTTACGCACGGACAAGGACCACCACAATTTGGAAGCCCAAACACCAACTCGGTTTACACTACCAAGCACCCGGTGAGGCACACGTGCGCATATACCGAAACCAAACTTTTGAAATTAATGAAATGACACAAAAACAACCAACCATGCCAATTAACAAAATAGAAATGACCATGTACCCAAACATGCACAGTGTGAGATACAGATACGCACATACAAGGAATGGAAGCCCCAATACAAACAACTATATTTAAAAAAAAACCATACATGCAAAACATAATGCACAATCTAAACGTGATCATAAATAACATATAAAAAAATATCCTATCCGAGCAACATAATAAAACAAAGAAATAACGCCGTAATGGAAAGTCGACAAGAAATCTTCACACACAAACCGATTACAACTACGCATAGACCATCAAACCACCAAATTAAACCTAACCCTAGTTCACTGACATCATGGAGGACTAACAATCACTGCACACACAACAACTACACCACACGCACAGACCAGAAATGAGACCCAACCCCGAAAGAGTAATATAATTAAAAATGGAACACAATACCTTAACTAGAGCAACAGGATCCGGAACATATGCCCCCACCACCTGACCACGACCAAATCCCCCGGCCCTGAACTCAGCAAGTTGCCTTT